GTTCATGGCAGTCTTTCCAGGTAAGGAACTAAGGTTTCTTTCCTGAGAGATGACAAGAAAGGAGCCTCAAGACATTATTGGGGACCTCAAGAACTTGAGGAATTCACCCAAGTCTATAGGTATTACAGGCAAACCTGATGGCAACTAGGTGGCTCAGCTCCTTTGCCCAGAAGGGCTAATTAAAGCTCAACCATGGGATTCCAGCAAATTAGATTTTTAAAAGTCTATATAATCAATTGCTATTCATATTGTGTTCATGCAAACAACCAGGCCAAATTGAAACTAGACTTAATACAGTAAATAAATTGGTCTTAGTTTGGCTCTTTAATAAAAGTGAGGGTAATTTTGGGGGGGTAGATTGTGTTTCAATAGGTTCTATATTACACAATTGTGAATATTAGACTCTAATCCAATTAATTGTCTTCAAAGTTTTATTTTTCACCTATCAATTGAACTGGATCCTGAATTTATCTAGTTTTCTTAAATATTTGGCTACAACCCTCCAAACTAATGTTTTATTTTTCTCCCATCCTTTGACTTGGAATTATTGAAAACTAAAACATTTTCCTTCCACCGGACCATTTGTCATAATTCTTGTTCTAGCTTTTGCCCCAATAATACTAAGATTTGTAACATAGTTTGTCTCCTCCATGTTACAAGCCCTACTCGTACTCAGGGAATACCACTTCTAGACACCATCGCCACCTCCTTCAGTGCCCAGGACTCAATGTCCCCCTGACAGACAGCAAGGATCATTTGACTCTAAAGGGAAAGTGTCACCCCCCTTTCAGCAGGTAGCAGCTACAGAAGAGACCCTGTGCCTCTTTTCCCTTAAAGAATTCAGAACCAAGATCCTTGGGCGCGGGGCAGTATGGTAGGCAGTTAGACTTGAGCAGAGCAAGAACAATGGGCCAGGTACAGAAGGTCACCAGGGAGGAAAGCCCCAGGTGCCTAGAAGTGGACAGTTGAAGGGTGGGATGTCAGCCCCAGGGTGGCCTTTCCTCCCCTAGCATATCACTGGTCACCTGGTTTGGACCCCCTGACCTTTCCTCCCTAGAGATAACATCTAGGCCTCAGTTGTATTTCAGCTCCAGGCCCAGAAAAACAACAAAACCAGCCACAACTGACCTCAGGACCAGCTGCATTGAAAGGACCCCCTGCGCTGGTGCCAGCCAATCAATCAGTGGAGACCGAAACCTAAAAGGACACACCTGGAAAGCTGCTGAATATTCTATTAAGATCTTCCCCTGGGACATCCCCTAAAATCTCCACCCTTAAAACCCTTAGGACAGAGGACCCAGTGCCCTCTCCCTCCCAGGAGCACACCTGTGCATTCCCCACCCC